TTTTGAAGTTATTAGATAATGATTTGGATCAATGAGTGTTTTTTTTTCCTTTCCTTTTTCTTCTTTTCTTCTTTCCATTCTGTTTGGATTTTGATTTTGATTAGGATTTATTTGTAACAGGTTTGGATTATTGCATGAGTGTATTTATGTGTTTTAATAATAAAATTTATTTAAAAAAAAAAAAGGGGGAAAGGTTGCCTACCCCTGCCCTAAGGGGTGTGGGACACCACTACTCCCCAAACATCTAACTTTTGGCAGAAACAGACTATGGCATATGCCTGTATCCTTTTAAAAAGCTCAGCGGAAGAGATGGTGTGAATGGGATGAAGCTCAGTGGGAGGAAAAAGGAGAAGCCTCAACTTTTAAAAAAAATAATTACAATTTAAAACTTTTAAATTCTAAATTATAATTTTAAATTATTTTAACATTTTCTTTAAAACATCATCTCTTAGCAAATTTTCACTTTAATCACATAAAACTATGTACATGAAATGCATTTCATTTAGGCTGTGCTGATAATATTGTAATTTAAAGGTATAATTTTAACTTTGCTAGTTGTTTATGTCACAATTATTGCCATTAAATTCAGTGATACATGGGAATATTATTATTATTACGGTATTATTATTATTATTATTATTATTATTATTATTATTATTATTATTATTATTATTTGTATCCCACCTCTCTGTAAATAAATGCTGTTTAGCTCAAAAACCTACGTGCTCTTTGACTTTAGGCAAAGGGATCTTGTAGCCACCTTTGAGACCAACTGTGCAAAAGAGGTTGTAGCAAAAGCTTTTAAGACTAAGGCTGCATCTGACACTACTTTTAACTACCATGGCTCAATGCTATGGAATTCTGGGAATTGTAGTTTGCTGTGGCACCAGAGCTCTCTGACAGAGAAGGCTAAATACCTCGCAAAACTACAATCCCCAGAATTCCACAGCATTGAGCCATGCAGTTAAAGTGGTGACAAACTGGATTGTTTCTCAAGTGTGGATGCAGCCTTAGGGCCTTTGCAGACTGCCAGAAATAGTGCAAATTGAGTCCACTTTAAATTGAGGCACTGCCCTGGCTCAGTGCTAGGGAATCATGGGAATTGTATTTTTTTCTAAGACATTGAGCCTTCTCTGTCAGAGAGCTCTGGTGCCACAATAAAATACACGTCCCATAATTCCCTAGCACTGAGCCAGGGCAGTGCCTCAATTTAAAGTGGACTCAATTTGCACTATTTCTGGCAGTCTGCAAAGGCCCTTAGTCTACTTCCTCAGACGCATGGTCTGAGGAAGCCAACCAAGTCTATGAAAGCTTATGCTACAACTTCTTTCGTACAATTAGGAACTTATCATACAACGAAAGAAAGCAGATGTTCAGCCAGACAGTTGCACCTATCTTTGTGCCTTAACCACATGATGCCATACCTCTTTGGTTATCTTCCCATGGGAGACGTTTGTAAAAGCGAGTTTTTGTTTTTTAGCTGGAAAAATCTATTCAACAAAACACAGGAAAAGAAATCCCACAGGAAAAGAACTGAAGAACTACGACATCATGCAGTAAGAGATGTATAGTGGGCCTTTGGTATCCGCTGGGGCTTGGGCCCAGGACTCCCTGTGGATACCAAAATCTGTGGATGTTCAAGTCCCGTTAAATATAATGGATAGTAAAATGCAAATACATAAATATATAAAATGCAAATATATATATTAAAGCTGTGGATGCTTGAATCCATGGATAAAGAATCAGTTGATACAGAGCGTCGACTGTAGGAAGGTGCTACTATCCAGCTGGACATCCGCTTTCTTTCCTTCTGCGACAAGCCACTAAATCTTAAAGGTGTTACCAGATCCTTCTCCATACTGATATTCCAGTTAAATCTTAAAGGTGTTATAAGATCCCTCTCCATACTGATATTCCAGATTAACATGGCTATGTCTCTGAACGTTCTTTGTCTAGCAATGTAAAGGGTACCAAGTTCAACAATTCTTTGGTGCTCTTCCTATAAACATCCCTGTCTTACATAACTATGATAAGTGGTACCACTTGAGAGTCAGGAATGTGGAAAAGAGAATGAAACTTTGAAAACCTGGGAAAGAGAGATTGAGAGAGAGAAGGGGGGGGGACTTGCCTTATCACTACATCTGCTTGTACTCCATAGATTTTCTGCTCCACAGCCTTCTGAAAGGACATCAGAGTGTTTTCTGGGGCCAGCTGGAAAAGAGACACAGAGAATAAACAATGTTATTTATTCATAGAAGTGTGCTGCCAAACAGAACACCATATGAGCAGCAGAACAGTCAGTTAAGAGGCCAAAATGGACTGCAGAGACAGCATCACAAAGAAAGTGTGAAATATCGGAACAGTAAATCAACACCCCTGGACACCAGGCTATTCGGACAAAACAGGGTCTTGAGAACCTTATCTCCATGTCTGAGAGAGCAAATGAGCAAATTCCTTGGGAAGTGCCATAGTTAGAAGATGGAAGGCACAGGGAAGAACACTGAGATGTGGCATATATTCAAAAATCAGAAGTGGCTGGCGGTTCCCATGTCAATGGGGCAGTGAATCCACTCCAGGTTTTATCATGAATTTTAATGGAACTATTTTGGATAGTCAGTGTGGTGTAGTGGTCCGAACACTGGACTAGGACTCTGGAGACCAGTGTTGAAATCCCTGCATGACCATGGAAACCCACTTGGTAGCCTTGGGCACATCACACTCTCTTAGCCCCAGAGGAAGGCCATGGCAAACCCCTTCTGAACTCATCTTGCCAAGAAAACTTTGTAATAGGTTCATCATACAGTCACCTGAAGTCAAAAATGACTTGAAAGCATACAACAACAACAACAACAAAAGTTCGGGGAGACACTAGAGCTCTCTGCCAGAAAAGTCTAAATCTTCCACTAAAATACAAATCTCAAGATTATATCATCAAGAAAACCTTGTGATACATTCACCTTAGGGTTGCCAGACTAGATCGCATCCCAACGACATCACTAAATAGGACAGAAGTCAACACAATAGATGGCTGTTGTTGTTGATGTGTGTCTTCAAGTTGTTTCCAGCTTATGGCCAACTTAAGGCAAACCTATCACAGGTTTTTCTGAGGCTGAGAGTCTGTGACTCGCCCAAGGTCAGCCAATGGATTTCCATGGCCAAGTGGGAAATCCAACTCTGATCTTCAGAGATACAGTCCAACGCTCAAACCACTATACCACTCTGGCTCTTAAAACAATAGATATTTTTTGCATATCCTTTTTTTTTAAAAAAGTATCCCATTAAACCTACTTCTATTTTATAGTATCCCTCTAGGATACAGCATGGTATAGTCATTTGGAGCATTGGATTATGAATCTGGAGATCAGGTTTCAGTTCCCTGCTCAGGCATGAAGACCCACCAGATGACCTTGGGTGAGTCACAAACTCTCAGCCACAGAAATCTCCATGATACATTCACCTTAAAAGTTGCCGTAAGTCGGAAATGACTTGAAGACACACAATAACAACTCCTCTGGGATTTAGGTGCTATGAATAAATACTACTGTTCAGTTGTTGTTGTTTTCATGTATTATTTATATAACATTAGAATATAATGCATTATATTATACTTATTTATATAACATTTTTTATTTGTATAACATAATGCAATGCATTACATCATACTATAATACAGCTTTACTTATTTATCAAAATATTTGTATCCCTCCTCATTATCAAAACATCTCAGGGCACCATACAAATAAAAACATATTTTTTTAAAAAAATAAAATAAAACAATTTAAACAGAATGAAGAAAACAATCCACATTCAACCTGATTAACAAGTTAAAACGGGTTTAAAAGATTAAAACAGTTGTTAAAGCCATATGTGTTAGCATTCAGAGATAAGTCAGTGAGGCTCAAGAGCTTTGATGCACAGCCAATTTTTTCCTTGGCACTTAAATAGAAACAGCGCTGGTGCCAATCGGGCTTCCAAAGCGAGGAGAGCGTTCCACAATTGTTATATACTTTGTATGTTTTCAACTATATCATCATTATTTGTAATTTGTAAGTTTGGGGGAAAGGCAGAGAATAAAGAAAGATGACAATGACGACGACGATGATTTGTTGTTAACTGCCCTTGAGTCAACCACAACATGGTGACCCTGTGGATGAGACATCTCCAAGACCTCTTATCCTCAACCTCTATGCTCAGGTCTTGCAGACCCAAGGCCATGACCTCCTTGATTGAGTCAAGCCATCTGGCATGCTGTCTTGCTCTCTTTCTACTGCCTTCCACCTATGCTAGCATTATTGTCTTTTCCAATGATTCATGTCTTCTCATGATGCAGCCAAAGTATGACCATCTCAATTTAATCATCTTGGTTTCCAGAGAGAGTTCAGGTTTAATCTGTTCAAGAAACCATTTGTTCGCCTTTTTGGATGTCCATGGTATCCTCAGCACTTTTCTCCAGCACCACATCTCAAATGAGTTGACTTTCTTTTTATCCACTTTCTTCATTGTCCAGCTCTCACAGGCATAAGATCAAATCATTGGAGTTTTAGTCCAACATTTAAACCACTCCACCATGCTGGGCCTTGGTAGCATAGGAAACAGCTATGAAATTTCCTAGGATTATTATCTTTTCCAATGAATCATGTCTTCTCACAATGTGACCAAAGTACGACAGCCTGAATTTGATTATCTCAGCTTCCCAGGAGATTTCAGGCTTGATATGTTCAAGTACCCGTTTGTTTGTGTTTTGGATGATGATATGGAAAGGGGAGATATATATGAGGGTGTATGGCCTGAGTGACTCCCCCATCAGCCCTCCAGCCATCTGCTTCTAGCAAACCCTAGAGCAGGGATAGGCAACCTGTCCCCTTTAAGGGCCGAGGGACTTCAGCTCCCAGAATCCCAGGAGCTGTTGTTGTGTGCTTTCAAGTAATTTCTGACTTATGGCAATCCTAAAGTGACTCTGTCGCTTGGTTTTCTTGGCAGAATTTGTTCAGGAGGAGGTTGCCTCCAAGGCTGAGAGAGTGTGACTTGCCCAAGGTCACCCCATGGGTTCCATGGCCAAGCAGGGATGTAAACTCTGGTCCCCCAGTGTCTTAGTCCAATGCACAAATCACTACACCACATTGGCTCTCAGTTTTCAGGGGTGAGGCCTTTTAAAAAAGAAAAGTATATATAAGTATAGATTTGTTAGTGTGTATGCAATAAATATATCTTTTTTAAAAATTTGTCATTCAGCTGTAGATGTATACTTGTGGGGAGGTGTCCTTTTGTAATTTAGACAAACCAGGACCTTTGAAAATATTACAAATCCTGGCTCAGGAAGCCTTGTCCAGTTGATCACAGTAATCTTGAGGACTTCCACATTGCAGTGAGGCAGATACAAATTCAGAACCTGGGTCTCAGCTGGGCAACTCCCTAAAACTCAACAAGAGTATAAGAGGAATCAGTGAAAATAGCTCTCGTGGAGCCTTGCATATTTTTGTATGCTTAAAGATGCTAAAAAAACACTGTAAAGCTGGAAAGGCACAAAAATGTGGAACAACACAATATTACTACGGTAAATATTGGCCTCTTTGGTCAGAGTTCCTCCTCCGCCTCCTTTTTTTTTAATCCATAAAAAAGGAAGATGGAACAAAGCAGGCAAGGATTAGAAAGCCTTTGTAACCTGGAGAGAACACTTTCCAGCTTAAAGGAGTCCTTAAAAGCCTCAATTCCGGAAGGAAGGGATTTGCCTTGTTCAAAAGGAAGACGAGAGACAATCCATTACGTTACGGATTGGAGTGGGTGGGAGACCGGGAAGCCTGCTGAGCAGCACCACCTAATCACTGTAAGCTATCTCTGATGCACCGCTGGTTTCAGCTCAGGAAATCATCTCCAACCATGAGATAATGCAGGAGGGGGTGACCTAAAGTAGAGACGAAATTACATGGCTACTAAGATCAAGAGCGTCTAAGGGTAAGACAAAGCCCAAGCCAAGAAAGTGAAAAGTAGACCCCCAGGAGATTCTGATATTAGAATCATAGAATCACAGAGTTGGAACAGACCACAAGGGCCATCCAGTCCAACCCCATTGTGCCACGCAAGAACTCAAACTCAAAGCACCCCCTCCAGCTCCCTTCACAGAAGGCATCATAAACCAGGTGTCACACTACACACTTGGTTATTATGTTCCTTCAAGTTAACTCCAACATACGACTATCCTATCTTAGGTTTTATTCAGGGAGGTTTGCCATTGTCTTACTCCTAGGTTGAGAGAACAGTGTGATTTGCCCAAGGTCCCACAGTGGGTTTTCATGGCCAAGTGGAGATTCAAACCCTGGTTTCTTCGAGTTTTTGTTGTTGTTCTTAGCTGCCCTCATGTTGACCTCGACTCATGATGACCGTGTGGATGAGACATCTCCAAGACCTCCTGCCCACCACTCCTCTGTTTAGGTCTTGTAGATTCAGGCCTATGACTTCTTCACAGCCAGCCAGAGATGCAGGTGAAACGTCAGGAATAAATTCTTCCAGAACGTGGCCACATAGCCTGGAAAACCCACAGAAAACTATGGATGCCGGATGTGAAAGGTTTCCTTGTTTCAATAAGCTTGAACTCACTACTTGAATGCAACAGCAACATGAGCACCATACAAGCACGGGGGGGGGGGGGGGGGGAAGTATTGAGAGATGCAGCTGCATTTTGTATTTTCTGCCTCAGGAGTCAAAATAACACGAGCGTTTTAGAGTACTAAGCACCTTGGGCTCAGATACATAAGAAATATGATCTTATGCTCTACCTCAAGGAGCAAAATGCTTTGGGCCATCACTGCTGCTGGTTACCTGCAAATCCAGCTTCCTTTCCCAGCAAATCACCTTTACCTAAGCTGTTCCTGAAACACTTTTCTTGGACTGATCTTGCCTCCCTCGTCCCCCTGCCATCTGGCTCTCTCCTTAGCTGTCATTCCTTGGCTTCTTTACAACTCCTTTGCCTACTTTCTTCCTGTCAGATCCCTTAATGACACAGGGCAAAGCCAGTGATATAGCAGTACATTTTTTATGTTGAGTTCCTCAACAGGATACTTTCTACAGTATATCCCCAAGTAGGTGGCTATGTTAGTCTAACATAGGGCTGGGCAACTGCATGGGGAGTCGAGGAGAAAGACAAGGTCCTACTCTTCAAAAGTCCTGGGGCTTTAACACTTCAAGCCCGGGTACCAGTACACAACCAGACTTCATCCATCATCATCATCACCATTTTATTTATATAGCGTCATTACAATACATGGTGCTTTACATGTAAAAAGAACAACAAAACCATTCCCTGCCCTCAGGCTTACAATCTAAATAAGACATGACACAAAAGGAAAAGAGGATGGCAGTGTGGGAGGGGATTTAGTTTTAAGTCTAGCAGATAGTGCCTCATCTTCTCTTCTGATTTCAGAGCAATGGCAACTGGGGTGGAGGAAAAGATTTTCATCTGCTTCTGGACCTAGGCATGATGGATCTGTGCCTGGTTCTTCTCTCCCCTTGAGACCAAGGCAGTGGAAGTCAAGTGATGTACTCAAGTCTTTTACTCCAAATTTCAAGCCAAGTCTCAAGTCAAGTCTCAAGTCTGGGAGTCAACTTTAATAGAAGAAAAAAAGAAATGTAGGGTGTGGAGACCAGAAAAAAAAAATCTTAGAGGGGAACAGCAAACATGTTAGGCAA